TATGTTTGGTTAGCTGATCTCTGCATAACCGATAGGGGTAAGTCTTCTGGCATTTTCTAGCTGATCCCTGCATAACCGATAGGGGCCGACCTGAGTTCTCGCGGGCTGTACGTCGAACCATAGGTTTAGTCAGCCGCTCATGTGAGCCCGACAAGGACTGGGGGGCCCATGTGGCCAGGGAGCCTGACCAGCTCCTTTGCCCCTGTGGAAGAAGACAGTCATGTTGATGTGAACCAGTGTTGAGTTTTTCACGGTCTCCTCAAAGCCCCATAACAGGTGGGGGCCCATGTGGCCGGGGGATCTAGACAATCCCCGTGCCCTGAGGAAGAAGAGATAGAGAGAGAGAGAGAGTTTTTTGGAGGGCTGTCCGGCTCTTCCTTTGGCTGAGTTAAAGAAGAGACAAAAACAACGAAGCCCGGCAGAAAGAAAGAAAGAAAGAAATACACAGAGGGGAGGTTTGCTCGTGTAATCCCGGTATCCTTTAGCGGGACGGCAAGGCCCGGGAGCTTTACCACCCTCAAGTCTCACACGAAGGGCCCCAACACCAAGGTACCTGTTATGCGTTGAGCCCTGAGTACACGCTACGGTCGCACATCATCGAAGGCAACAAAGGGGCTAGTGTACTACAAGCGTGTGTTGATGGCTGCTTTTCCTAGTGTAGGGGGCGGCCTCCGATGTACACCCCAAAGCCGCCTTCGAGTGCACTAGCGAACATGCAGGGCAAATCGCGAGTGTTGAGGGAGACAGTCTGTAGTTCGCGCTTGTAAGGTATGCATGTCGTCATGAAATTGGTGTTGCGCCCCAACGTTGACACATTACATGGGCGCTATATATCGGTGTTTGAAGTCTGCAAGCGCCGGATGAGTGCCAAAGGGGCGCGGGGATGAGGCCAGTATACGGGTCAGAGAGTTCGGTGAGGGGCCCGCAGCAGACAACATTGAACATACCCTTTTCTCTTGTGCAACAGTCATTATACATCATTATAGGGCCCCGCAAGCCGACCACTCAATAAAAACATTACAGTATGTGGTTGGGCGAGCCGGAGGCCTGAGAGTCACGACTGACCCTTAAGCCCAGCGGAAAGAAAGACAGGGAGAGAAGAGGATGGTACTAAATCAGAAGTTGACCACGGCGTAGCGCAGCGCGCAGAAGCGGGGGCCGTACGCCTGACTCGCCACACCGCCGGGCAAGCAAGGGAGGGAGGGTTACGCGGTGTGAATCGTGTTTCGAGTGTTCCGAGGTTGTTTCGGAACTTAAGTTACGGGCCGCTGCCTCAGACGACAGTTTGACGTGTCCTCCGGTGTGCGATGCCGCCCGCGAGGGCCGCTCGCCAGATCGAGCCCAAGCAAAGCAAAGCAATGCAGAGAGAGAGGCTTTTCCGTGCCAGTGACCCCGGGCCTCAGCACGACGGGGGATAGAGAGGAGGCTCCACACACCAGAGCAAGCAAGCTGCGGAAGCAGCGGGGGAAGCAAGGAACGAGACCGGGGGACGTGGAGCCAACCTGACCCGGTGACATAGCCATAGGCGTTGTTTTTCGCTCAGTTTCTAACAAGAACTTCGTGTTTACCACCGCGCAGCCAGCCGGGGCTATCCTACTCAGATTCGCTGCCGGGCGTTACCTCCGGCTAGCCCACAGTGGCAACGGCAGGCGCTTGTGTATCCTGTTTGACCAAACTAGCCAAGAATATGTCTGCAACACAAGCACTGTAGCCCTTTACCACAGCCGCAAGTCACAGCTCAAGAGGGCGATTTCGCTTTTGGAAAACGACACCCTTGCTTAGCACTGCAGATGCCGTTGCTGTTCTGGGGGAAGCTGTGGCCTTAGAAATGACGATGCAGGACGGTCTGCAAAGTAACGAAGGGTTCTCAGCAAATTTTCCAACACGATACGGGCCATTCTAATCCAATGCCAAGCACGAACAAATAGTGTATTGACGGCAGCTTAGGTGCTGTCCATCTTCTTCATTCGGGCTTAGCTGATGCGTGCAGACAGAAGTGATTTGATGGCCCGTACAAGCCGGGAAGACGCCTGGAACCTACCGCGGCGGGCGCGCTCCATCCCTGCTGGGTACACTGCCACCCCTCTTGCCGCCGCCCGCTGCGTGCGCAGGACCCCATGTAAACTGGGAGGATTGCAGGGTGCCGCAGCAGATGGTTCAGGTGCAGTTCGCAGAGCAAGGTGTGGGCACAGAAGCGCCGGATGTCCTCGACCAAGAGCTCGCTGAAGAGCAAGCGTGGACACTGGCGCGGGGACGCCCTAAGCATTGGCGGTCAACGGCACCGCAAGGCTCTCCAAAGCGGCTGCATGGGCGTCGTCGTGAGCGACCTGTGGGGTAGCCTGGGCCCCAAACAGTGCCGTGCCGTACATCGAGGCACTATGAAAGGGGAAGTTCGCAGTGTGGCGATGCCCTGTCATGACCCCGGACGATGTGCAAGCCACTTTTCATGCAGTTTAGAAGCTGGTCATTGTTGCGCTTGAATATGTCCTCGGTAAATAAGCTGTATACACAAGCCGAGACATATCTGCGCTGGCTTGTGTGCAAGAAAGGTTTGGGTTGCCAAATCCTTCCCCGCAGGGGCGAGGTCTGCAGTCGCGCTGTTTCCGATGATGGTGGGCGCCTGGATGTCTCGGCCTTTCCACCGGTGATTACGATGTTAGGTCGGCATTGTTCTCGCGTGCTCAATACATGCCCTACGTTTTCCTAAGCTTGTTGTTTTTGCAGCTAGGTTGTTCTTTGACAAGGGGGGCACGATCATAACTCAGGTCGTCTGTTGTAAAGCCAAGCCATCCAGGCCAAATGCTTGAGTGGAGTTCATAACCTGTAGAGAGAGAAGATTGTTGCCGAACTGCAGTGGTATGAGTTAATGGAGGGGGAAGAGCAACCCTTCCGACTCCTTGTCTTCCGAAATCCTGCCGAGGCCTGTAAGGACTGGGGGGCCCGAACCGATTGAACCCTTATATGGTCGTTAGACCCAGCAAGCCATATCTTTTTGCTGGCCTTTTTGACCCCGGAACCATATCCTTTTTCCCGGCTCGTGGCTAAGAGTGCGTCTGTCACTCACCTTGTTCGCCACTCGGTGCGCGGGGCTTGACCAGCTCCCTGAGCCGCGGAGTGAAGTGAAGTGAAGTGAAGT